GCGTAAAAATAGTACTGCGGGGTGGCTGGGAATAGACTCTACCGAGGTCGATAGGCCGGGGCGGGTAGAGGGCTATACCAACCCCTACCAAACTACGGCGGAGGCAGCGCAGGCGCAAGGTACAAGCTGCGATAAAGGCAATAATAGTGCAAGCACCTTGCCTGCCTCCCTTCTCCCAGCGGGAGAGGTGCTGGGGGTAAGGGCACAGGAGAGAGAGCAACCCATTACTTTTTTGCCGACAACAAAGAAGGTACGAGACCGTACCGTTATCCGCCTGCCCAGTTATGAGCAAGTCAAGGCCGACCCGGTGCTATATGCCCACGCCAGCCGTGTGCTGCACTTGGAGACCAACCCAGGCAATGCAAGGGCACTGGTACAGGCCCACGGGCAAGGCCACACTGCCCGCGATGTGTGGATAAACCCGCCGCCCATACCGCTCTCTACCGCTGAGATGGACTGGGTGTTCGATTTGCCCTACGCCCGCAGCCCACACCCCAGCTACGCCGATGAAAAAGGCCGCCATGACGGCAAAACCAAAATACCTGCCTGGGAGATGATACGCACCAGCGTAAACATTATGCGTGGCTGCTTTGGCGGCTGCACCTTTTGCAGCATTACCGAACACGAAGGACGCATTATCCAAAGCCGCAGTTCCACCTCTATCATCCGGGAAATTGAAGAGATACGCGACAAGGTGCAAGGCTTTACCGGCACGATTTCTGATTTGGGCGGCCCCACCGCCAATATGTACCGGCTGGGTTGCAAAAGCCCAGCCATTGAAGCCGCTTGCCGCAAGCCCAGTTGTGTCTATCCGGGCATCTGCCAAAATTTGAATACAGATCACACCGCGCTGATACAACTCTATCGCCGTGCGCGCAGCTTGCCCGGCATTAAAAAAATCCTGATAGGCTCAGGCTTGCGTTACGATTTGGCAGTGAAATCGCCCACCTATGTACAAGAGCTGGTGCAACACCACGTGGGCGGTTACCTGAAAATTGCGCCTGAACATACCGAGGCCGCGCCGCTCTCAAAAATGATGAAGCCGGGCATAGGCAGCTACGATGCTTTCAAAAAAATGTTTGACAAGTTTAGTGCACAAGCAGGCAAGGAGCAGTTTCTCATTCCCTACTTCATCGCCGCGCACCCGGGCACGAGTGATGAAGATATGCTGAGTTTGGCAGTGTGGCTAAAGAAAAACGGTTTTC